CAAGTGTGCTGGCACTCAATCACAACAAGGTGCCGGTATTCGAGGTTAATCCCCAAAAAAAATAAGTTTTTTCGCCAACTTAAATTACGTGCATTTTTTTCAACAGATCAACAGAATGACGGTACAGCATCAGGACCTATTGACAGTAACACTCAGACTACACAGGGACCACTACGTGAGGAAGGAGATGTGGAAGATATGGGACACAATGACATAGAGTCCGATCTATATGCGGTCCTTCCCTTAGATACAGGTTTGAAACCCAAAAGTACCTTTACACCACATAATGTTAATGCATCGATAGATTTATTTACCAATCTTGTGAAGAAAGATGTATATAAATTAAGGAAGAAACATCAGGGTACACATAGCTATCAGAGACAAAAGGTTAATTTCACTAAACAAGACTGGGTCAACATTAACAATTTAAAGAAGGATACTTCCATCATTATCAAACCAGCAGATAAGGGGGGAGCATTGGTGATCATGGATCGCACATATTACACAAAGGAAATTGAGACCCAACTTATGGATAATACCAATTATTTGCCTATAGGTCAGGATCCAACACATACTTTGAAAAATACACTTGATAGACTTAATAAATGGGCCCTTTCCAAAGGTATCATCTCAGATGGGGAATATAAATATATGAATCTCAAACATCCAAGAATCCCAGTATTCTACACGCTTCCTAAGATTCATAAGAATCCCCTCTTTCCCCCAGGTAGACCAATAGTTAGTGGTACTGGATCTATATTTCAACATCCGGCAGAGATACTCGACAAATTCCTGATCAAATATGTCCCGCTACAGAAATCATATCTTAAGGACACTACTACGTTTCTTACATTGCTATCAGACATACAGGTTCCACCAGGTGACTTTTGGCTGGTGACCATGGACGTTCAGTCTTTATACAGCTCTATTGACCATGAGAGAGGGATTGATGCAGTTGAATGGACACTGGATAAAGATCCCAGACTAACCTATCAAAGGGATACTAGAAAATATATTAGGGAATTATTGACTTTCATCCTAACAGAAAATTACTTCCTATTTGGGGATAGATACTACAAACAGATTAAAGGTACAGCCATGGGCTCGAATGTCGCTCCAACATATGCAAACATTTATATGAATCGTATGGAAGAAACATGTATTTATCAACATCCCTTATTCGTTAAATGCTTAATTTGGAAAAGATATATAGACGACGTGTTTGTATGTTGGAGCGGCACGAGGGCCCAATTGCAGGACTTTTTTGAGTCATTGAATACACAAGACGTCAACATTAAATTCACCATGTACTGTGATATGGTTACGGTTCCTTTTCTAGATGTCCAAGTACAGAGAGTACAGAATTGTCTACATAGTGACTTATATATAAAACCCACTGATCGAAATAATTTATTAACGTATGCTAGTTTTCACCCAACTCACCTTAAGAATGGTTTACCGTTTAGCCAACTGTTAAGAGTAAAGAGGATAATATCACAGGAAGACAAAGTGATGACAGGTTTAGACTTTATGGCTAAAAAATTCATAGAGAGGGGCTATCCCACACATGTAGTAGATAAACAGCGACAGAAAGTTGAAACCCTTGTCCCGTCAGGAAACTCTCTCAGGTTCAGGAACAAAAAATAAAGTAGAAAGGCTTACATTAGTGACACCATATACTCCACTTAATAGAGATATTAGACGAGTTATACTGAAACATTGGCAATTATTTCAGGGAGATGCTCAATTACCTCCGATATTTCAGTATCCTCCACTTTTCTCATATCAGAGAGCTTCAAACCTGAGAGATATTGTAGTGAGGTCAGATATTGGCAGTTCCAAAAAACAAACCAGATTCTTTTCAGAACCCAAGAAGGGTACTTTTCCATGTCTTAATTGCTCACACTGTAATAGCGTGATCAAGGGGGAATATTTTGTTCACCCACGGTCAGGTAAAAAATTTTACGTTAAGGATTTTTATACGTGCAACTCGGATTTTGTCGTGTATGCCCTTAAGTGTCCCTGTGGGCTTTTATATGTGGGGGAGACCATCCGGCCAGTGAAAGAGCGGATAGGGGAACATAAAAGGAGCATTAGGGCAGCATTTCAATACAATAAAGTGGAAGCTCCAGTACCAAGACACTTTAAGTTACATGGCTACAATGTAAACCAATTGAGGTTTCAGGTCATAGATAGAATCCCACCACTACGTAGGGGTGGAGATAGGCAGAAACTTTTACTTCAGAGAGAGACGAAATGGATAAGTACTTTGGAGACCTTGTCACCACTAGGACTCAATGAGGACTATGATCTTAAACATTTTTTTTATAAGTGTATATTCATGGTTGTCTGCTCTATGATTTTGTGCTCCTTACAGTGGTTCCTCTTGACCAATATTGGTCCGTAGCTCTTTCCTGCCGACATTTTGACTCAGTCTGGGGTCCGCTACCTGCTAGTGACACAGGGTCCCTCACGTGTATGGCCCTCGGGCACTATGGGGTATTGCGTGACAGGTGAGTTGCACATATGGATTTCTTCCCCCCTTTTTTTAGTAATATAATTCATTTTTCTTATATCTACATTTTCTGCAATAATGACAAGCGTTGTTTCTTTTCTTTTATATTTATCCAGCTGGTTGTCCAACTGGTTCATATCGATTTTTTTCATTCAATCTTTCTCCTTGATCAGCATTAACAGGTGAGCTTTACAATAACTGTCAGACATTTGGATTGTTCTATTGGTTTGTTTAACATCTATGTTTTTATTATTTTTTTTCATTTGCATTAAATATAGCTTATGGCAGTTCACTTAGATACATATCCCCTTTTGGGGTTTTTTTTGTATAAAGATGTATTCACTACATGGTTTCCCTCCAAGTGTCTAGATATTACTACTAGTGAACAGTTGTTTCTATTTGTATCTTTACTTTGTTTCCATGTTATACAATGTTGGTGACTAATAAAGTTGAGTAGAGGACGTATGACACAGCTACGCCCGCTGACGTCATAATGCGGAAGTAAGGGAACACCGTGGAGTGGATGCGGCTATGGTTTGCCGCCAACATTAGGTATTTAAACCATTCCTTATTTTGTTTAACAGAATACAGGGGCCGTCGAAGGGACAGATATGTCCCGAGCGCGCAGCCCGTCCAAAGACTACACTGCCTGAGCAAGTTCGCCGACAGAAAGAGCCCGTCCAAAGACTACACTGCCTGAGCAAGTTCGTCGACAGAAAGAGCCCGTCCAAAGACTACACTGCCTGAACAAGTTCGTCGACAGAAAGATAGATTTGTCGTTTTGACCACACACCTACTGGGAGCTGATGGAGTGACTGTCCGTTTTTTACAATAATCATTTCCTTCACCTTCGTTCATATCATCATCTGACTACAGTTATATATTGTGTACACCAAGAAAAAGATGTCTACATTGGTGAGATCCATCCACATATAGCTATATATAGTGCACTATATTTTGGACTATCAGGACGTCTTTACATATATTTTTTCTTCATTTTTTCATTTTTTCTTTTTCTTTTTTCCTTTTTTCTCCTTTTTTCTTTCTTTTTTTCTCCTTTCCTCTTTTTTATTTTTGGATTGGGGATTGTTTACATATTTTTTTTCAATTTTTCAATTTTTTCTAATTTTTCTCTAAGGATCATCATCAAGTGTATATACATTAAATGAACTTTATCCAATACTTGGAAACAATTTTGTATATACTGTATATATTGCATATATTTCTTGTATATAATTGGTGCACTCAGGATGAAATGAATATTCCTATTGACATACTTCGCATGAATTTATCTATAATAAATTTTTTCTCAGCATTAATTACAAGTATTATGTATACTTTTCATTATTAGAGTGCGGTATTCATTATATATATTTTTGTTTGCGAGGCCTTAGGCGAAACTCAAACATGAGGCCCCCTACTAACACCATTAGTGAAAAAATAGGGGTTGACCTGTGTGCATAAGGAGCTGTAGATCTTATTGTAAAGCCCTGCGGCATAAGCTGGCACTATATAAATACCAATAATAATAATAATATAGTGAAGGGCGGGCTTGCAGCATTGGACACAGAAAGGTAGTCTCTGTATTTATCTTCAGAGGCTTGCATTGTCACGGCTCCCTATGCTGCTTTGTGAGCTCTTTGACTGTAGTTATAATTTACAATTATTGCTAATCATTTATACACGATTGCTGGGTATGGTTGTATAGCGTGGCAGTCATGCATACATAAGTGCCAGGGTAAAGGGGTTATTTCAAACAAAATTAACATTTTGGTTGGGCTTCTAAAAAATTATTTACTAAATAATAAAGTTATA